TAATATTTTGGCGCAAATATCACTTAAAAAACTGTTACATTTTTACATAGAGATGAAACAAACATCTTTATCTATCAGTCCAATTCTATTTATTGTAATACGATATGAAGCCCTTAGTAAAGCAATAATATTCAGTTTAATGACGAGTTGAAATAATATTTGCATTTGTTTATCTTATAGAATCACTTGAAGATATAGCTGTTTATGCGATTATGGAACTTAAAGATAAATTTGTTCCGAGAAATTTAAACTTTAGTGTATTATGTATCAAATAGCGCTTATGTAAAAATACCGAAAATACCGGTATTTTTGGGGTAAATACCGGTAAAATACCGCTGAAAAAATCGATCGGTTTACCGGTAATTCGGTATACCGGTATTGCATTCCCTAGTTCACACACACACTTAAAATTTTTATTTACCATTGCGATTGTTTACATTTTGTTTCATTTTGGTTTCTTTTTTTCTCCCTGTCTTTTTTGTGACTTAACTTGTCCTTTTCCCGATTCCTTTTGTTTGTCCTTTTCTCTCTCTCTCTCTCTGTCCTTTTCCGACGTCGGAAACAGTCGACGATCACCGAAGAGACGCGATTGGCCTATAATAGCCTGATCGAGCAGCCTGCAGCCAATAGGAGCCTTTCGACGCTGAACGGAAACGTTGGAGTGGGCGTGCCGGCCGTGGCGGCGCCACCGGTCAACCAGGTGGCGCCTCTTCAAACTCAGGTGGGTAAAGGACACATTAATATATATATATATATATATATATATATATATATATATATATATATATATATATATAATAAGAGGATCGTGTTAGTTACAACACTTATAACTCACGAACGGCTGAACCGATTTAGCTGAAAATTGGCAGGGAGGTAGTTTGAAGTCAGGAGAAGGACATAGGATATTTGATTTCATTCAAATTCAAAATTAATTAATTATAAACTATCCATTTAGTTTATTCTATCTATGATTCATATTTTATACATGACATTTACTTTTAACTGCCAACTGTCAACCAGTGTTTTTGTTTTGATACAAATATATTAATATAAATATTTTAATCTCCACTAAAAATTATTACGAAATGGCAAATATATTAATTCGTAATAATAGCAAGCGATGCCAGATGGGCGATGAAAAACATTTATTCTTGGAATGTAATTATTTATATACTTAGGTATTTAAGTATATTTGTTTATGCGTGTTTAAATAGAGTATTTGAGCTATTTATAATCAGTAATAAGTATAATCATTAACAAATTAAAAAAAAAAGGAAATATAGTTTCTTAGCATAACCTCAAAATTTGAAATAAAAATGTAAATAGTTATATATTAATTGTTGTTAATTTATATTTTGTTGGTATTTTATTTTTATTTTTTCAATTAAAAAAGCTGCTTATTTTTGCCATTAGGCGGAACAAAGTTCGCCGGGTCAGCTAGTATATATATTTATATTTTACCATCTAATTTATTATGAAAAGGAAAGTGTGTGTGCAGATAGAATTATTTTAAATTATTTCAAAGTATAAAAAAATAGAATTTTTCAAAAAGATTCAATTTTACAGAGTTCTAAAAGAGAAATTGAATCTTCTCTAAAAAAAAAATTTTTTGGTGCGGGAATCTCCAGCAATTTACTTAAGGCACAATGCCATGCACCACTAGTTCTATTTATACGCAAACAAGCAAAAACAATATTATTCTCAAAATTTTGATTCACTTGTCGCTAAGTTAAAAAATTCTAACAAACAAATAGAATTTTACTCATGTTATTTCCATAAGAAACTTGTTTGGAGTGCGAGTATGACTATCTTAAAGGCTATATTAAAAGCTAAAACTTTAAGGGATTTTTTTTTATAAATTTGAAAGCATTTGAGCCTCTGGGAGCAAAGAAATTCGGAAAAATGTATATTAAGGACCATCCTAAATATTTATTTATTTATTATTCAACGCCCAAGGCAATAATATAATATAGTTACATTTTAAAGTGTAAAAATTTTAAACTAAATAGATAATATGTGAGAAAATTAGAGCATTAAGAGTCATAGATAGCTTGTATATACGTGGTCTGTTCAAAAAGTACCCGGAATTACTAATAAAATTTCGCGGGTCTGGAGTGTCTGATTGTCAAAATTTTTTTTTATTGTGTTGGTATACATGCCCCTAAAGTATGATGAAATTTTCAGCTATATTCACAGTTTACTTGTCTGTGTGGTAGTCGCTAAGGTTCGACGTGTTTTTCTGAGCTCGGCGATTTTACAATGGAAGAATTGAAAAGTCAAAGAATTTGTATTAAATTTTGCGTAAAAAATGAAATAAAGTGTTGCAAAGTGCAAAATCACCAGATATGGCTCCGTGTGACTTTTTCCTATTCCCAAAGTTGGAAGAGACCCATGAAAGGACGGCGGTTTTCCTCGATTGAAGAAAATCGCTGAGAGTGCTCAAGGACATATCAAAAAGTGAATATCAAGGGGCTTCGAAAATTGGAAAAAACGCTGGCATAAGTGTATTATATCTGGGGGGGACTACTTTGAAGGGGACCACATTAATGTAGACGAATAAATAAAATTTTTTGAAAAAACGAAAATTCCGGGTACTTTTTGAACAGACCACGTATATACACGTATAATATATATAAACTACAAATATATAACATTAAATAAAAACTAATAAAATTAAACATTTAATAAACTATAAATCACTATAGTGATACATAAGTATACTTAAGACAGTCTTTTAAGGATAATTTTTCTGGCTTGATTTTTTATATTTGTCATCGACAGACCAAAGATAATATATTTATTATTTTTGATATTTTGAAAAATGCGCGTGAAACAAATTTGGTTTTAACAGCAGATATTTACAAAGTTCTATATTCCATAAACTAATGTTTGGTACGATAAAATTGAAGCGTTCAAGAAATTCAGCATCATTCTAAAGTACCTTTCATATATCTAAATTAAAATATAAATTATCCCATGTCCCAAGTTTTGTGCAAATCAACTTTAAAATCGGGTCAGTAGTTTAGAAGTTTATTCGGAACAAACATGGTGACTTATATATTTTTTTTAATAGACAACCACTGTTACTACACCCAGCATTACAAGCATTTTACAAAGTGGCCCGCCAGTCACAATGGCACCGGGTGATCAGTAGTCTTCATCATCACCAGGAGGACACATTGAGCAGTTCACCGATGGACGAAACGAATCCTTTGAGGATTTTAAAGAGCAGCAAAAACTTTCCAGCGGTAATAATAATTGTTTTATAATCTCTTATACCAAGATAATTGAATTAGTTTCTAAGTCTGTTATTATATTTAAGGTGAGACCTCGTGTAAGGTACCCTGCAGGAAGCGATAAACTAAGGACTCTGCCCAACATTCGTAGACATATTGATGATGTTAATAATGATGCCACGTCCAATGGTGGTGATGATGTTAGTGTACCTGAAAGTCCTAGTTATGTTACAACCACTTC